CCCCACCCCCCCCCCTACTTCCTCCTGCTCTGTTCTAGGCAAATGTAGAAAAAAATAAAATGTTTACTTGTCTCCTAAATACAGTTAAGGAAAGAATATCACGTGAATGTAATTTCCTGCAACATTTCATTAATCTCATATGCCCTCTGTCTTTTCCTGCTTCAATACAAGATTCTGTCTAGCTTCAAGTAATTGATACAAAGAGTCCTTGCAGCCTGCAGTTATCCATTAACTCCATGGTATCCCATCACAGAGAAAGACTGCGTATGTCTGAACTTCATCCTAATTTAATAAGGAAAGAAATTTAGTCATTGTCTAGTTCTGAACTTTACTCATTGCAGTATTTACAAGACAGACTTCCATGCAGTAGGCTTAAAACAAAACACAGATCAGCTTTGTCTTTGTTACCTACATGTTTAATGACTGTATGTGGACTTAGAAAAATATTCATGTTATACAATTTCTATTAATCAACAATTAGAATTAGGAACACACAAGGCCTCCCAATTCGCTTTAAAAAGATCTGGTTTCTGCACATATAGACAAATCACCAGCTTGTTTGGACATATTAGTATTGCTGTCCTTAGAACTGTTACATTTTTTGTTTGGTTTCCTTTAAATAAAATTCTGAATTCTTCCATTACTCAGTAGAGGAATTCCTGCTGATAGTGATCAGGATCATTTCAAAGCATTTCAATACATTTCAAAAGTCTGAGTACATAGCCAACTTTAAATCATAACTCCTCTGAAAATTCTCATGACGGTAAATTGGTATAGTATATATGTCCAAGCATCTTCCAGCAGAATTACAACATGCTGGAGTTCAGGGACATTTAAAAAAATATCCATCAATACTTGTAGAATATCTGACTTGACAAAAGTCTTTACAAAGGCTGACAACTTTCTCCTCTTGCTGACAGAGCAAGCAAAAATGCTAGCTGGGAGTTTCCTCATTACCTTCCAACATCTACTGAATTGTTAAGACATGATTAATTAAATCTTCTTTTCCATGCAGTTCCAATGAAGGCACAAGTATTTCCAACTATATGAAGAATTTATGTCCATCAGAACACATAGGAAGTCATTTTTAAGGCTCCAGCTTTACAAAAAAAAAAGACAACCTTATTTTTTTCTGTAACTTTCATTTATGTAAAACAATTATTTCATTTGGCCAAAGCATGACAACGTTTTCCAGTTATAGCAGCCTTACACTCCAACTTCTGCAAATTAAAAAACAACCAAAAAAATCAGCTGCTCACACCACTTTTCCATACATATTTGTTTGCTCTATGTTCAGCCCTGAGCCCCTGCAGACAGACAAGGGAAGAGGTAAATGATAAGTATGCTCCCAAAAGCATTTTGTGACACTGTATCAGGAGGGTCCCAGATGAGACAATCTGCTCTTCCCAGCCACAAAGCAACCACCTCAGACTTCAACCAGCATAAGGAATCATCCAGATCCATAGTCATGGCCAAAAACTTTTGTCAAAGCCAACACTCTTTCACTCATTTGGGCTTCTAATCAATTCCAAGTACTGTTTTTATGCATCATGCATAATGCCTACAATAGGGGCATTCCTGAAAGGATTGTTTGCATATGCACAATGTGCTGCAGTTTCTTTTCACGGCATAGAAAGGCAGGCATAACCTGTGTCAGTGACTTTCAGATAGCTCTTAAAAATGTTAAATTAAAAAACAGATTTGAGTTAGAAAGGTAGAGTAGATGTCAGCATTTTAAGTGGGCCTGAAATCATTTGAGGATCTGCCCCAGCAAAGCTGGTAGTCAGTCTCTACCAGCCTGAAGTTGAAGCAGAAATTTCAATCTGCTTATCAGTGTGAATTATCTCTCTTCAGATTTACTTGTTCTATTACACCACCAGCACATCTGGAGATGTATTGCATTTATTACATTCCACAATATTTGCAGTATGTTCTGTTTCATAGAAAATTCAAGGAAAAAAAATTAAGAGAGCATACAAGCACATTGGATTTATCACTCCCCTTTAGAAATGCCCCCATTCTTCAACATCAAGGTCAAAATTTTGTTGGTTAGAACACCTTCTTAGGGCAAAACATCAAGGTCAAAATTTTGTTGGTTAGAACACCTTCTTAGGGCAAGCATGGAGAACACAGGCCAGGGGCTTCCTGTTACAATGCAACACACAAAGAAATCTTTTAGTGTGGTCCTTTCTCTGATGTGCTTGCCCACCTCTCAAGTCTGAATTTTCAAGTTTCCTCTTGACTTTTCTAGTTCAGAGGTTGAAGTGAGGTAACTACATCAATATTTTAATTTAATTAGAAAGAAGACTGCTGGTGGGAAATAAATATTTGAAATAAACAAGCTGTTAGGACAAGTACATTCTCCAGTTATCAAAAGACTGGAAGCCAGATCTGCAAATAGCTGCAATCAACTACCTGACAACACCATTCTTCAAGAGTCATTGTATGCTTGTTACATGTAACTTCATATTCTCTTTATATGTAATACTACTATTGAGTCCAAGCCCATCCTAATTTTACAGACAAAAATATCAACGTGGGATTTACACTTCTCTCAGTATCTTCCCAGTCAACATTTTCAGTTGTCTTTCTGCAGTAAAGAGTTTAGTGTGTAGTTTCTTACTCATGGGTATTAGGAAGTCTACAGAGAGGCTTCTCCATACACACCCTGATCTTTTGTCTATCAGGATGAGCAAAGCTGGACACATTTTCACAAACTGCAGAGTTGACTTCAAGTAATCAAAAGTGAAGGAATCTTCACAGCAATGCAAGGGTGATGCTGACCAATTCCTGTCAAGATGACAAGGATACATACCTTGCTGAACAATGATACTTTATTCCTTATGCAGAACGGAAAGTTTACTTGATCTTCCTCCAATACGTCACTGGAAATAAAAGTTCCCTTCAAACTGTTTCAAGAACAGATGCCATTTCCTTAAACTGTCTGAAGAAGTTCTAAAAAGCAAGAATTAGGACAAATTTCAGTTGCTTTAAGAAAAGCTCAAACTGCAGTTCAAACTAGCATGTTAGACAAAAAACACTGTCCATGTATCTCTCTACCTCATTGTATCTCTATCTCATTTCTCACTACCAACGTACAGCTTGAATTGAAAGTTTCTGCTTTTCTTTTTATGGGCTGTCTGGCATTTGAACACATTAACTACGAAATGTACAATGGTGATGCCTTAACAGCATGGGCTTGCCTATTAATAGGAAAAGATGCGACAAAAGAATGCCATAAAACAAAAAACCACCAAAACACCAAAAAACCACAAACCCTTTCTCACACGAATGTTTCTACTCCTAGGTGAAATAATCCAGACTTCTCAAGTGTAGTATTCATTTCCTAAAGTAGCTGAACAACAAATTATTAAATAGGCTTCCACCAGAATAAATGCATTTCACAGCAAAGGATTCAGAATATCCTTCTCAAATTTCTGCCAATCAAATTCCAAGGATCTATTTAAGTTTGTATGATATGCTTCCTTTAAACTGGAACGACAGTACAAGGGCCAAGTTTATGCAAAATTACATAAATTCATGGATGGAGACATAGCCATTAAGAGTCAGTGATGATAAAGCAGACTGATCTCCATTCTTAATCTTAGCAATTATTATGATTAAGCCACATTTTAGATTTTGAGGCTGGGGAACAGTTCTGTAGATCAAAAACATTCTGTGCATCTTTAATATGGCAGAATGATAGCTGGCAAGCTCTGAAAGATTTTATGTCTTTGGCTCTTAGTTTATTTGAAAGAGAAATGATCAATTGCTGTTAAATTAACATTTTCAGCTATGTGATGTAGAACTAAATACTATGAAATAAGTATTTATCTTCTGTGTTTTAAATAGCTATTTAATGCTTCATGTTTGCATGACTGTATGAGTAAACAAGCAGCACAAACATATGCATCAGGGTATACAGCTGACCCTCACAACAATGGCACTGTTGTTTATAGAAGACTGAACATTCAAGTAACACTCACTACAGACCTTGAACTGTGGGATTGTCATTTCAAAAGACTTGTCTGTTATTTGTCCTGAAGGGTCTGCCACTGTCAGCGTCACTGTGACATACGGGTACTTCAGAGACCTGCAGGTATCAGAGCTCATCGCCACTCCCAGTTTCCATTTCATATCTACAAACTACAAAGGTGAAAATCATTAGAAATACTGTCGAAGATCTATCCCCACCATTGCTATTCACTTGGAGAGATAGTGCACAGACAATGCAGGACATCTAGAGATCTTACCCAAATGGAAAACAAACATAAGCATTCAAGTATTATTGTGAATGCAAATCATCTGCCCTTCCCTCTAACGGTGAATAAATAAGTAATTTATTAATTGATTTCATTTTATCTGTTCTCTTTATTCAAGTACAATCAACAGTCAAACACACTCTTCTTAAAATTCTAGTAAGAGAAGTTTAAGCCACAGAGTTCACCCAGCTTGTATATCATGCATGGGTTTTTTTGTCATGTTTTCTTTTGTTTAGAAGTTCTAAATCAAAACCAAAGTTTATAAGTCTAAACTAAATAATTTATAATAGTAACAGAGAAAAATCATGTCATTTCGTGATTTCATGCAATTTACTGTATTTTAGATAAATCAAAGTACATAAGAGATACACTTCAGACAAGTAAGATACAATTTTTAGCCCTTTGTGAAGCAGGGCCTTTAGAAGTTTATGTCAAGTCTCAGAAAAATATCTCCTTTCCTAATTCTATATTCTTTTAAACTGCTGTCAGAAAAAAAAAAAAAAATGTAAGCAGATTGCTATTTTTTCAAGCAAAAAGGGAATGCTGGAGATTGACAGAAAGTGTCTTTAAAAATAATGTTGAAATTTAATGGAGACAAAGAACAAGCAGTCAAGTCAAGCACTTTAAAGTTAACACCTTTAAAGAACAATTTACACTTAAAACAGATTTACATAATAAGCCAATACAATAGCCTGCCAGACTGTCTGCCATTCATCTTCCCATTCATCTTCACTACGAAACTTGAACTTTTAAAAAGGTACAAAATGTGACTTCATCATCCAAACAGTAACATAAGAAAACTGTTCAGCATGTATACAACCTTTATTGTATATGCTGCTTTATCTGAGTAGCTATTTGGCAACATGTAAATGTACACACAGGTAGGAAAGCTTTCAGCAGCCTATCTACCACTGCCTACCTGACAACACAATACAACACACACAGTGAGACGCTGACATTCCTGAAATGTTCATCATTAGCTCAGCTGCACTTTGTCCTTTAGTTACCTGCCCCACTGTGGCCATATTTCCTGCATCTTCTGACACAGCAATGGCTTTGCCCTGCTCGTTCCACACATGACGAATAACTTGAACTGCATGTTTTGGCAGCGTGCTGACGCCACTGCCCAAGGTGGTGACGAGCTCTTCTGTAGAGAGGTTGTTTCTGGCTGCTGTGCTATAATAGATACATCCAGAGATCACTGCATCAAGTTCATTTTCCACCAATTTAATACAGTTTCTCATTTCACCCCAAAGAGACAGCTTTTATTTCTACTTTATGTGTACTTTTAAACGATTCAGCAGCCCATGATTTACTTTTTTCCCAGAATGTTACTGATCTTTTGCATCCATGTGCAACAAAAATAATCACAGCCTCCAAGTGCTGTAGCAACTGGAAGAAGTCAGTGAGGGGTGAGTTCGTAGAGCAGTTAAACAGTATCATTACTTCGGAAACAATGAAGTTTAATTAAATACTCAGCAGGTGGAATTAATTGAAGTAGCACCAAAAGTAAAGACTTCTAGGTCACAGTATAATGGGAACTAGCAGAAATGCCATAAACCCTTCAACTGAAGAGGCAGCAAGTCTAAAGGAAAATTGCCACTTGATTTCCTCTACAGAAACAAGTAAACAAAAAATCCTACTCTGTTCATGCGTGTTCACTCCTCCTAAAGAGGCATTAATATAAAAGAAAGTAAGTTGGTCCTCCAAGTAGCATAGCCAAATATAACTGCAGATATTCTATTTCATAGGTAGAAAAGTAATATTTTAAATTTCTACTAGTATATTTTCCTGAATTGTATTAATGTTACATAAAATGTTTAGATACGAGATATTAAAAGAACGAGCAAGATCTCGAAAATTTTATCTTTCTAAAAATAGAAAAATTTATCAACTAAAAATACTTCCTAAAAACTCAACTTATGGCAGAATGCAATATTATAAGCTCTGTACCCTTCAAAATGGCACCAATGCTGATTTCTAAGAAACAAGAAGTTCTTAAAACACATTTTTTCCAGGCAAAGGCCCAGCTGAGCTAGCTTTAAAAATGAGTTTAACTTCCTCTCTCTCGCCACTAGCTCTAGAGCTTTCAGACAGCATCTTGGAAGAATTTCCTCTTTTTATTTTTTTAATTACAAAAAGTGATACTATATATTAAGTAACCACACTTTTTAACTATACAAACTAAACCCAGGTGTTCTTTTCTGTGTATTGAGACTTACAAACTTTTGTCCTTTTCCCAAATCAGTTCAGCTTATATCCACATTTGATATAATTTTTCAATACCACCATTAAGTTGTGATGGAAGGAAAAAAGACATGGTGCAGAATAAATTATTTTGTGCTTACCTAAACAGAAATGAAAGAGTGTTAGCTATTTTTGCCAGGTCACCAATATTAATGTCAACCCCCGACGTTTGAATTCTCTAGAAGTAGAATGTTCAAACAATTACAAATAATAAATTACACATTAGTAAAAGTATCTTTGTTTATATACACGCAGACAAGAAACTCCACAATGAATTGGGAATTCTGTCCTTAACAGCAGATACAGCTACTACTCTTGCTTATAAGGACTTAGTGCCAACTTACCTGACACAATTCAGCTGTATTAATACCTGGGATCTTATGGTTCAGATGTTGAATTATTTGTTCACACTGTGAAAAAAAAAAAAACATGTTTGAAGACATTGTTGATAGAAAAATGGACAAGAAGAGGGAAGAGTGCAGAGTAATGAATGAAGTAATTGAAATGACTGATTTAAAAATTCCATCAAATCCAAGGAAAGAAACTGAGCCAAATCAACACTTTAGTTTCTACTTTACTATTACTAATTAGTACATCAGTTTCATATTAACTGTTCAAGCATATACTACAGTAAGCAAGCCAAATGTTTTTTAGACAAGTTACCTTGATATATCATTTAAATGATAGAAAAAATTAGATTTTTACAAGTCTTCTGTGATAAAAACATAAATTTTAATCAAACCCATTGCTCTTAGCAGGACTTGTCTGTTTTATAAGTCAAGTCAAGCTACCGTACACCTGATGTCCCTTTTGCGTTCCACAAAACCCAGAAGAGCTGAAATAAAAAGGCTTCCTGGAGTGGCAGAAACCCTTCCCCACCCCATTTATAGCCCTACGTACCAGCTCTGCAAAAAAGTCTTGAGGTATTAAACGAATCTTTTCTGCTGCACCACCACCATCTGAAAAACAGTAGAGCCATCAGAAGCAAATACCTAAATAAAGTGTTACGGTAATAAACCTAATCTTTCTCTGAAAAATGCCTAGGCCATCATACACGCATACATTTACCTTCATTTAAGGTAATTAATTTTAATCTACGGGTACCTAAAGAGAGCCCTAGGCTGCCCGAACCCCGCACTCCCTCACCCCAGCTCC